GTTGGTGAATGAGCTGCAGCTCAGTTGCAGCTCATTCCTTTTGAAAAGACTGCTCTGTATTTGACAGAGTGAATTTGAAGTCTAGGAATAGATAGTTATTAAGATTACCCTAGTCCCACCTCACCCTTGGAGGAAACCAGCGCTTGCGCTGGGGGATTGGGGGCCAACAGCTAGTAACAACTGTCAGCCCAAAAACATCATTGAAACTCGTTTAGGCCCAATTGGAGTCTGCGAAATCCAAAGCGATTGAGAAGGATGAGCAATCACCTACTATTTTATAATTCATCATCATCGGACTTGCTATGATTCCGATTGGTCGAGACAGTTATTTCGTAAAATCAAATAAAACTGCACACAACGAAAATGATGCAAATAAAGGCACAATTCTCGACAATCATTTTGGGGACGCTTTCGTTTGCAGGATCGTCATATGTACTCTACCATGTAGCTCGCTCGTTTTACCAGTACGGTTGTGAAGGTACCTTGAATCTCGTAGGTTGTGCAATTTGAATACAACATTTTCATGTCATGGAACTGGTCTAATTGTTGATTGCGTATCACGTGGTATTCTTGTCTCAGATTTGGCTTGGGGACCCTTTTCCGAACTCACCAATTCTCGAATACTCGAAGTTAGTGGTCGTGACGGAGTCATCTCTCAAGAAAGAAGAAAATCTTCTTGATGAAATTGAGAGTGCCCGACAACGGGCAGAGGCTGAAGTACTAGACGGAGGTGATAAGAGCACCAAACGGAGCCTTTTACTTTTGTGGATGAGAAATTATCCTGAATTGGAAAAAGTCCTTGGCGAAATTAGCCACAAACTTGACAAGATTGCAGCTCGAGTAGACGGAATCCTCCTTTCAAATGTCGATTCCAGCGCTCGCAAGGTGCAGGAGTTGAGATCAAAGCGGAAAGAACTGTCGCGGAAAACAGTTGCGTGCATGGGACGTTGTGACGCCTTGATGACGCTGTTCAAGGTGCTGCGGGATGAAAAGTGAAAAGAATTGATGGAACTGTAGAGCCCTACTATCCAATATCCATTTGAAAAAGAAAAAAATCGTATCGAATGATTTAAAAGTGGTTGATTGTGATTTCAATCACCTGTATCATTGGCTTTGATCGTCCTTCCTTGCACATTGTTCTTAGCGTACAAATTAAAATCCCACAACAAACTTTGGTTTTTAGTATACTCTCGCTCGTCATAGCAGAATCACCTTTCGAAACGGATTGCAAGGGTGGAGCTTTCGCAGGAGCGATCCTCTATTTCCTTTTCCTTTTGACAATAGCGTATTGGGTTGCAAACAGCCACATAATACATAATGTTAATCAATCTCCTACGAAGGCCGAACGGCCTTTGACCGTCAAAAGTTGTTGTCGATGCGCCGAGGCAATGATGCCCAGTTTATCTACTGATATTGAATTCACCCACTTGTGTTGTGGTAATTCAATTTTTCTCTTGGTACCCAGCCTTTGTCTGCAAGCGAACGAAAAACTCGACCTCCTTCCATGCCGCCCTCATTCATTGCGATCGGCCAGCGTGACGTGCAGCGAACAACTTCCCAACATCCCTCCTATAAGAGCTGATCGGATTGTCTTGATCCTCTATTCGCCTTCCACCGCTCCGAGGCATTGTTGAAACAACAAAAACGTGTTCTGTGCCCCTGTCCTCATCCTTCAAAAAATAACACCCTTCCCCAAGTTACTTGGTCCTGAAAGTCCCCAGATGGGAACTCAGTTTCTCTCTTCTGTCAGCATCTGCTTTTCAGATGATTCAATTCACCAAGCGATCCATGACAAGAAGAGACCAAAGAAATCGGAAATTCAAGCGTCCTTTGGGTTTGCTGTTCCTACTGGTAAGCCCTATTCGGTCTATGGTCGGGGTCGCAAGGAATCAGTGACAGCAGAGACCATTTCTGCTGATGCTATCCGTTTTAATGCACCTCAGATGCTCGCTATAGACAAGTTGCGGCTCTTGAACTCGTCTCGCGTCAGAGCAGTCCTTGGAGTATTTTTTTACTCCGAATTCTCCTCCGGTTATTGGTTTTGGCGCTAGTCCTGTTAGGACTACTTTCAATGGGCAAGATGCTGTCCATCGCGGGGCCCCAAAGTGGTCTGATTGCTTTGAGCCCACTTTGATCCAGCAATACTGGCAAGGCGATATGAGTGTCCCTACTCATAGTGGGTGAACACGGTTGGAAATGCCAGCGTCGCAGCGGGATTTTGTTCAAGCAACAAAGCCTGCAATGCTGGTTGGGGACTTTTCCAAGGTCCTTCTGATTCCTGATGGATGCGGTGCCCCGGTGGGCCTTTATTGGCCAACTTCTATTTCTTTCGAGGACTTCAAGAATTCTTTGAGTGGACATGGTACTCCTTATGGGAGTTTCTTGGATTTATTGCGGAGTCAGTCTTCTATTTTTGAAGACTGGTTTACAGCAGTGAATTCAAGTGCTCATCGGAAAAGAAAGTCAGGTCCTATTGGTTGGCTTGCTCGTGTCACATTAGGACATGGCTCCGTCTGCTTATGTCACGTGGCCACGTGATTTTTTCGCAGCCATTCGACTGGAACCTTTTCATATTTATTTTTGCCTCTGTGCTAATGTCACCTTCGCCATGCGAAAAAATCACCTACTACCTGTCATTTTGGGACACGGTCTAGCCACCATGAACCATCCACTGAGTGTCTCAATACCACCTTCACCCTGTCATTTTTGCATTTCCAGCATCATCTATTGTCACATGCCCAAAGTGATTATGTGATGACTACAACAATTGAAATATCACAATGACAGTATGATAATATCAACTACTTGTATTACCTACTTTTCACTAATCTATTCGTCTTCATCCTCATATGCTGTTACAATGTGCTGCTTTGCCTTTTTGCGCCTTTGTTCAGAATCCCCTTCCAATCCTCTCCAGTGATTCATGATTATGTTTTCCAACTTCCTGGTTTCTACTAGCTTTTTCCTTGCCGTACTTACCATCTGTGCTAACTCATTGAAACGATTGATGCCACCATTATCCCATCCACCTGCAACCATCCCCTTTTCACTGCCAGTGTACCTGCCACCCAGTGAACGCATGCGTTTGCGTTTCAGTCCTTGATCTTCAGTGGTGTCACTGCTGGGCCATTCTTTGGCCAGTGCCTTCCACCGTTCCACGTAGTTCTCCACCATCAGAAGTCCAAATGCTTCATCCGTGACAGTGAAAGCATTGCTCAACCCAAATTGACATCTTGCATCACCATAATACTTAGTGACATCTGCATTGACAGATGGCAAGATGCGATCAATGAAGTAGAGGAAGGAATCATAGTTGTCCTTTCTATTGTCCCTCACCTTTCCGTCATCATCTGCATAGTCTCGGTAGTTGGTCACAAGGCTAGCTTCCAAGTTTTGGGGCACAACCCCCTCCTTCCAGTCACCTAGTATATCCAACAAAAGAAGCGGGTGAGATCCAGGCTTTTGTCACACAACAGTGGAAACATGAATACTCACTGATAAATTTCTTTTTGGCACTGTTTTGACAGTTGTTTCTCAGCATTCTCAGTCTCTCTCTCAAACTTGATTGCCACTCGCTGGCAAACACATCTGTATCCACACCCTCTGGTAACAGGACATAACTTTTCTGGACTGCCTTGGTGCATTCCCGCACTCCCTTCTCTTCAGTAGTAGGGAACTTAATGCGACGGAAGGTATGTAGCTTCACAAAAGCATAAAGACCCTTTTTAATTGCGTCTTGGTTTTGCGGTAGCTTCATGACCAAGATCTGCTCTTGCTTGTCCATTGAGCGATTGGAATTTGTAATGGTAGTGTTTCCAGGGGAACAAGCGCTTCTGGCAGCACTCACTGTTCTCGGAACCACCTGACACGGCAGTTGTCTTCCTTGTGCCTGAAAAAATCTCTCCAGAAGATTCTCCATGTGCTGGAACCTGGCTTCAAAAGCATTAGCTGCCGCAGCTCCTCTTGTTGGAGTTGTTGTTTCATTTGTGGTTCTGCCACTTGCCACAACTGCCATAGCTGTGGTTGCAGTTGCGGTTCTTGGTGAGGTCGTAGTCCCACTACGGGCGTTAGGTGAAGGAGACAGACAGGACTCATCATCCTCATCCTCATCCTCGTTGCGCTCAAGGTCCTCATCACTGCTCACACTTGAATCATCATCATATACCTTTTCCTTTCTCCGAGACTCCCCTACAATAAACAAAGCATGCTGTTGTTACTTCAATGTTTAGCAATCACATTCTGATACTAGTAATTCAAAAAAACTCACGGGTTTGTCTTGGTGGGGGCTTTGCTGGTGTTTCAGTGGTTGAAGCTATCTTCTTCTTGCTTCCATTGCCCTTCCCTTTGCTTGGTGCCTTCTTGCTCCTTGCCTTGTTTCCCATTGCTCAATGTTTTAGATATGTGTGCTGTGAAATCTTTCTATCGATGGTCTAGGCTGGATTCAGTTGAAATGTACATGGCCCTGGTAGTACTAAAAGTAGCATTGGGTTGGAGGAAGGTTGAGGAAGGTGTGCTTCTACGTTGTTTCCGTGGAAATGTACCATAGGATGGGCTTGAATCCATCCTGGCGCGAATTTTTGCCCTACTATTATAAGCAGCCAGAATACTGTCTACTTAACATAATGACTCAAAAATGTTATGGATTTGTCCTATCTACGTTATTTCTCTGAGTGGTATCCTGGTACCTTTGCGTGGAGTTATGCTGACAAATTTGTTCCTCTTGATGAAATTCTTATCGAGCAATGTCTCAATCCCAATTTTGCGGCTTAAATGCACAATGTCTACCTGCATAACGTCACAAATACCATTGGGGAAACTTTTTGATCACTTTTGACCGTGTAGATTTGTACGTGCAGGATCGTGGTACATTTGGACTGAGCCTCTAGGCTTCCGGTGCAAATGTATGGCAGATCCTAAATTCGAATCCACACACTCATCGGACAAACTAAAACCCAATTCACAAACATCCAAAATAAATACAGCAACAACCAACCGGCAATATGGATGCCAAACAACAACAAATTGGCAAGGAATTGAAGGTTGTCAACGCCCAACAACGAACTGGCAACAAATTGAAGACCGGTGGACAATCAATTGCAGAAGATGGCAATGTTGACACAGCCGTCGAAAGAGACACTGCTGTTGTTTGGGAACAAGCAAATGGGACTCTGTTGGATGATGACGCCCGTCAGCAACAAAGCTGCGAGAAACCCCCAATTGCAAGTGATAAAGATGGCGTCACTATCCCAAAGAAAGGCGTTGACGGTGCCATGGAACAAAAGCAAAGTGTAGATGATGATGACCGCTCCAACGATACTAGCATTTCTAATTTAAATTCAGACACCAAGGACAATAGTTCTTTAATGCTTTTAGACGACAAAGTGTCTAAAATTTGGATAGATTGTTCCCAAGACAAAGAGTCTATACCCCTACCCATACAACAGGACGATATGAAGCAATCACCAGACTTCAATCAGTCACAATCAACCGTCTCAATCAGTTGGAATCAAAGCACTCTACCAACGTTGGCAGAAGTATTGAAAAGATCCGTCCAACAGCCAGAGCAGAATTTTGGATTGGAGGCCATGTGCTTTCTTCGCAACATTGCCGACAGGTGGTTCCAATTGCCACCCTCTGCGGTTCTTGACAACCATATCTCTTCATGGAAACTTCAGAAGAATGCTAGGGCATGCTTTGGCTATTTGTTCACACTTGTGCAGCAGAAAGACTTGGAAAACCGTATCAAGACCATGCATGAGGATATGGTTGACCTGCGAAAAAAATGGCAGACTACGGCTCAGGAATACCACCGTGAAGCCATGTTCTTTGACATCAAGGTGGAGAAAACATTTGTCCAGAAATCATGGGACCAACTTGAATGCATCTATCTACTGTGAGCAAAATAGCGATTACAAGTTCCGTTTGGCCCAGACCGTCAATGTGGCAGTAGGAATTGAGCCGCCAAAGCCAAAGAAAAATCCAAAGCCCCCGGCACCAGATCCGTCATCATCATCATCATCATCATCATCATCATCATCATCATCATCATCATCATCATCATCATCATCATCATCATCATCATCATCATCATCATCGTCATCATCATCATCATCCGTGTCACCTGCTTCAACACCTGCAAGCAATGATGTGATACACTGTTATACCAGGCTTGGATCATGCTATGATGATGAAATTGCAGCATGGGGCACAACAGAATTTTTCTACTGTGATGACGATGGTAACAAAAACTATGTGTTGGTCTCAACTATTCAGTTGATGATGTTCAAGAACCTACACTGTTATGAACATGGATTCCGATTTTGCGAGGGTGCTAACTTCCCAGTAGCAAAGGATGGCAAGTGTGTTGAAAGATATTTTCCAACTGGGAAGATGTCTCATGTACAACAATCACACTCACCAAAGAAAAAGCATTGGCAATCCTTCAGATATGATAGGATGGACTCTTTGTTCTTCCAAGAGCACATGGAACCAATCATTAAGGTGGATCCCAAAGAGAATGAACCGGAGGAAAAACTGTCATCTGATGAAGACAAGAAGGAAGGTTCATCTGGTGAAGAAGGTGATTTTCCTAACTTTACACCCAGGTTCGATGAGCTGACCAAGGCTATTATACGCTGGCGTCAACAACAACCTGGTGGAGACCAGGTTTTTAGTGGAGTGAACGGTGGAATTTCGGTGTATTCTTGGGATGTTGTGGAGGAAGCATTGCACTTTGGGAACAAGGGGAGACACCTCAGAGACCTTGAGTATAAGGCGGGTCACTGGGAGGATAAGGTTCTTGTGGCCTCTGTTAGAGACTGTGCAATCTTTGCTTGGAACTGCATGAGAGATGGCATGTACTACAAGAGACCTAGTTTTCCAAATGCATTTGGTGAAGAGGGTGGGGATGTGCAGAGGCTTCGGGTGAGGCTTGGTATTGACTCAAATACACCAATGGGATTCTCCAGAGTCACCTTGGATGTCTATGTGGTGGTCAAGGATTCGGCCTATGATTTCTCCATGAGTATGAGTACTACAAAGAAACCATTCAAGCAGACAGTGATGCTTTCCATTTTCCTGGTTGATCATAAAACCGAACCCCAAGCAACCATGTTTTTCCTAGTGATGACCTTCCACTACAAATATCTCAACGATGAAGATGACAATGGCAACTCAAGTGCAGATTCGGATTCAGACATGATGGGGAATGCTAAAAAGCGACAGAAAAAGCGACAGAAAACTTAACAATGAGTGTTAGCTGCCAAGACTACAAAGGACTATTAAAGCCTAGTGTGGATGGATAACTCTGGATCAAGTGGGAGAAGCAGCTACTCCAGGTGCTTTGTGGGGAGACAACAAAGTATCCCTCACCAAGTGGTTTGATTATACCATCCATCTTCTCCCTTGCTCTTCTTTGTTTTGGATTCAGTGGCATCTGAGGTTGTAGCATTGGAATATTCTGCACAACAATTGTGGGTTCAGCAATATAATCACAAGGGATGATGGACAGTTCATCTTGGGTATCGCCAAACTCCACCAAGAGGCTGTACTCATTCTCTTCGCCTGTTTCACTGTGAGTCTTGACCTCTCGGAAGTCGGATCTTGGTTTTTCCTTGAACAGCCTGACAATGGCGTGTGGCTTGTTTGGCCTTACTCTCATTCCATTGACTGTCACTTCCCTTTGTAGATGTGGGACATGAAGAAACATTAGCACCTGACCCGGGATAAAGCAGCTCCCATAACCTTGATCCTCCAAATCAAACAATGCCCAGTCATACCAAACATCCCGCTGTTGCCTAGACTTGGACCTGAAGCTTGGGTGGGCCCGAAAGATGACCGATTCCCCTCTGATTTCTTTTTTATATTCAGTGAAGCCATCAACTGTCCTTGCACTCTTTGAATTGTTGAGGGGGAGATTGGAGACAATGTGGTCAAAGGCCGTATCAATAACAGTCTGTATGTGAACCTGTCTGCCTGGATCCTTTGTCCACTTGACACCTGGTCTGGAATTAGTGGTATC